CAAGATCACATGGATGATCTCGTATTGCAACTCGTTTTAGTACGTATACGTATTCTTTAGTGCTTACTAACTAGCAGTGTACGGGCCTGAAGAAGCTCTTCTTTCTCTTTCCACCGGTCGGTGAAGGGATTAAAGAAATTTAAATTTACTTTGTTGTTCTAAAAAAATGCAATTGTGAGTATTAAAGAAATGTTTAATTTTGAATTTAAGCATTACAATGAAAACCTATCTCAAAATTATCTCCATTACGAGGGTACTTTAGTAGTTTCCAAATAAATATACAGGATGATATCGCTATCCTTACAAATGTTATATCAACTTCTCAGTAATCTTTAAAAATGAGTTCACATGAATATTTCCATTTGACTTAGATTTAATTTAACATCTTAAACAATGAATCAAATTTTGTTTCACTAGAGATTTGAGGTATTTTAACTTTTTCCGCATTCTTTATCTCTATAAGCTTACCATTTTTAATAGTTACAGCTTATAAATGACTGAATACATTTTCAAATATGTTTCACCAAGAACCGTATGTACCAGAAAAAAGATAGTAGTTTAACACAATTATTTTTCCCAAACCTATATGAAATATGTTGTTCATTTATGTTTTGGAGGTTAACGCTGTTTGTTATGCTATGTTATGTTACGTTGTGTTATGTTATGCTATGTTATGTTATGTTATGTTATGTTATATTATGTTATGTTATGTTATGTTATGTTATGTTATGTTATGTTGTGTAATGCTATGTTATGTTATGTTACGTTATGTTATGTTAATGCAAAAATTTATCATTCAAATTTTTAATATTTAATTGATTACTTCACTTAAACCGAAATTAGATACAGTAAATTCATTTCATGAAAGAAATTTTGCTAAAAAAATCAAATGTAAAAGAAAAAAAATTAGTAGGTCAGTAGAAATTTTTAATAAATTAGCTGTATAATTAAATGTATTAGATCGAAAATATTAAAAAAGTTTTTTTAGGGGAGAATTATTGAAAATTGTTTTTGTTTTTTTTGAAAAGTGGGGGGGGCGAAAAAAGTTTGTGAACCTATGATTTACATAATAATAAAACAAATCTCTTTTATCGAAATAAAAAAAGGAGTAAGATGAGTAATAAAAAAATGATTTGCTCCTGTTGTTCCTGAAGAAGACTTGGAGTTTTCTTGTTCTCCCTAACTTCTCTGTGAAAACTGTATCTGTGGCCTCTGACCCTTGACTCACATTCGAAAAATCTTATTTCCCCTCTGTTAAATTTATGTACTTATACTTCGATTTTCGGGATCTCAGTATCTGATCTTCATCATCTAACTTGCCGTCAGTTTTTTCTTATCCTTCTTCCGAGATTGAGTTTATGTTTAATTTTATTTATTTATTATTTTTTATAGTATTTTACCACCAAATGCAGAAACTGCTCCTGTGCTAACAACGTGGCTATGCCCCCCCCCCTTGACGCTGCGTTTTTTGTCAGTTAATCCGCTTCAGTTTCTTTTATAGTGCTAATTCTTTTATGAGTGTTTTCTTTTGTGAAGTTTTGGATGCTACTTCCTGTTTCTGCTTTTAGGATTTTTCTTGCTGTGGTAGTATTATTTTCAGTTTCACGGCAGGTGATAATTTATTTTGTTTTATATTTTCTTTGCACACACACACACACACACACACACATATATATACACTGGTTATCATAAATTANCATGTCTCTTGCTGAATAACATGTATATATATATATATGTAATACAAAAATTATAAATACTTTTGTATTAATAAAACCATTAAAACTCTTCCGTTTTCATAAAATGTCTTTGGTAAAGAATAGGTGTAGAAATTCTATTTTGGGATTTCAAGGCTGAAAACATACCATTGAATTATAATTAGATTTATATTTCAAAGGAGGAGTTATTTTTAGAATCTTGTCCCTTTTTCTCTTACATATAAAGAAGCATTAAATGATTTTCCATAATGCGTAGAGTTACCATGTATGTACGACTGGAACCGGTTTACATCATTCTCTGTTTGTATTTAATGCGGGAGAGATTGTTTTTGCTTGTCTCTTGCTGATTAACGTGTTCCATAAAAGATCTGCCGAAACCATCAGGAGTTTTGTCCACACTCCCTCCCTTGTGGAGTGTGGATGTGAACTGTTATAACCACCAACCTACCTTTAAATAAACCTTTTGAGAANTATATATATATATATATATTGAAATTACTTACTTTTCCGATGCTATTTTTGAGAATACTGAAAAGATTGACATCTTTCTTTGTAGAGGACGGAGCAGGGAGTCTAGACCTATAAAATAAACAATCATTGATTAAAATAATTTATGTCAAGCAAGTTCGAAGCATGATTCTAAAATCTTTTAAAGCCTGCTACCAGTTACTAATATTTTCCCTGCTTTGTAGTTATTTAGACATTAACTAAAATCTACTTTTATTACAGTTGTTATGGAAAATGTGAATGCAGAATTGTTTTATAAGCAGTGTGCTTTAATTTCAAGTGATAAAAGCCTTAAAAAAATTCCACAAACAAATAATTTATAGCTTTTTTAAATGGTCTTTAATATTATTCCTCTCATATCTATCTACATAAATCGTTAGATTCTGTTTTACTTTGGTTTAGAATCAGTCCATTTTTTTCTGGCTGAAATAGTACCGTGTAAGTCAAAATATTATTTTATTGAAACAATTATACAAAATAACTAAATTCAAGAGGTCAATCGATTGGTAAGCTGATTTGCATCACTACTTCGAATCAACTAGTTTATACAAATTTGAATCAATGAGTCAGATTTTTTGTTCTTAACTACACCATAAAAAATTTCAGATCAAATTACGGTAAAAAGTACCGGCATTCAGAACGTTGATACTTCTGAATGCCAGTACTTTTACAAGTTCTGGTAAAAAAGGATTTTGCAGTAAAACTGTAAAATCCTTTTTTACCAGAACTTGTTTCGGAATAAAAAAAACTGATATACTGTTATAATTAAATTAAAATCACTGAATTACTCTAATTAAATAACTGTTACTGTAAAAAGTATGGCATAATATTTTACAGTACAAATGGATTTTATGGCTGTTGCACCCTAAGTGCCGGTACAGTAATTTGATTCTGAATTTTTCATAATGTAATCTTTATTGTTGATTAGAGTCATTTCACTGATTTGAATAAGTGGCAAAATGAATCAGTGGACGAATTAGAATCAATCTACTGATTCGAATCAGCGGATTATAATTGACTGTTTCGAATCAATGGTCTAGAATTCCCTAATTCGTTTGACAAACTAAAATTAACTCATACAAATTAATAATTTATAATTCCTTTTCTCTAATAGAAACGAGTGTAAAGTTGAAAATCGTTAACCGCACCTATATCAAAATGTCGAAACGGATCAGTACCTCAGTCTACGCATAACACTTGTAAACAAAGTTTTGTTTATTTTCTTCCGAAAGACATCTCTAAGTCAAAGTGCATAAAGAGAGGCCCTAAGAAGGATTTTATTATAGCTAGAAAACACAGGTACTTGAAATAGCTTTGAATATATCATGGAAGCCGGAGTAATTCGGAAGTCTTATCAATATGACTCATATATGCATACATATCTTACACATCTAGAATTCGGAATAATTTCCTCTCAACTATCTTTTTACGAAATTAGAAGGAAGTTGGCATTGAAAGCAAACACCTTACGCAAAATAGAAGCAGAGATAGCTTTCGAGATATCTTTTCTTATATGCTAATGCACAACAGCTGCTGGATGACAGAGCGCCTTGTCTGGAAGACAGAGGTAACTTTATTTTTGAAGGCTGCTGCATAAACGAGTAGGAGAGGAATTTAAAACAAAACAAAAAAAAGTATTTCTTTCGTCAACTTAGAGTAAGTCAAGTAAATTATCATTGTTGAAATAATTATAAAAGTTACAATTTTTAATTTGATTCATATTTAAAACAAAGAAAAGTAGCTCCTTCAGTAACTTAGGAAAGTAAGTCACATAAATTATCATTGTTGAAATAATTATAAAAGTTGGAAATCTTAAATGTAATTTAAATAGTATCTAAAAACAAAAAATATATATAGATTTCCTTCATCAACTTAGGAATGTAAGTCAAATGAGTCTTCATTGCTGAAATAATTATAAAACTTTACAATTTTTAAATGATATTTAAAACAAATAAATTCTTTATCTTAGGAAAGTGAGTTATATCAATTGTCATTGTTGAAATAATTAGACTAGTAAAAGTTTTTAAAAAAACAAAAGAAAATATTACCTTAATTGACTTAGGAAAGTAAGCCAAATGAATTGATATTGTTGAAATAAATTTCAAAATTATTTATTTAACTATCGCTTATCACAAGTAATAAGAAAAGAACAGATTAGATATTTTTTTAAATTACCATTTATTAAGTGTGAATAAAAAGTTTAAAATGCAGCTCCTTGTTTGGAAAACATGTATTTTTTAAAGATTGCATGAACGAGTTGGTTAGAAAAAATTTTAACGGTTTTTTTCATCAGCAAAAAATTAAGAAATTATAAGTGTTGGAATAAATATAAAATTTTCATTTTTTATATGAAATTTAACTATAATGATTTAATTTGATTGCTCTACACTACTAATTTGTATTCTGATAAAAAAAAAGATTAAATTTTTTAAATTATTGTTTATTTCTAAAGTATCATTTTTAAAGTGCAAATAAAAAGTTTGAAAAGTGTAAAACTGAGTGCCTTGTAACTTTTTAGAGCAGCGTAAACACATGTGAGAATTTGAAACAAAAAAAAAGTATTGCCTTTTTCAATTCAGAAAACAAGTAAGACAAGTAAACAAGCAAATTCTGAAATGAAATAAATTTTCATTGTTGTAATAATAAGTAATAATTTTTGCTTGTCATTTAAAGAATATTTAAAACGAAAGAAAGTTGCAGTCCGTCAACTAAGGAAAGTAAAGTCAGGTCATTTTGAAATAATTACACAAGTTAAAATGTAAATCAAATCTTAAGTATAGCCAAAAGAACAATGACTTTCGTCGACTTAGTCAAATAAATTGTCCTCGTTGAAATAATTATGCATATTTCAATTTTTGCATGCAATTTAAGTAGTCATTTATTTTAGCAATCGCTTATCACAAGTTGTTTATTTTCCGATCAAAAAAGGGAAGATTAGATATCATTTCAAGCATCGTTTATGGCACGTAAATAAGCTGAGAAAAGAAAAATAATTATAGTGCGTTATATTGCCTTATAGTCAATTATAGTATTAGAATAATTATAGTGCATCAAAATTCAAGAATTAAAAAAAAACGAAATTAAATTAAAAGAAATTAAAGTAAATGGTAAAAAATTAAGGAAAGATTATGAAAATCATCACTTCTTAATCTTTTTTTTAATGCATAAAATTAGTTCGTTTGACCCGGCAATCAACTTAAATATTATTTAGGAGGATAATTTCTACTAAGTTTTAAAATGTTTAAATCCGTCTATGATTTTATTGCGTCTCGTTCATTTGACCGCAGTTTGCATTGACATAGCAAATGGTGATTTTTATGGCACTCTTTTTATTGGAATGCGTACTTCAAAATAATTTTTGTATCTTTTTACTTTAAAGAATAATGCCACTCCAAATATTTGATAAAAAAATTAAACAAACAATATTTTTTAATTTCTTCTCGTACTAGAGAAAGAAGCGAATGCAGCGGAACCTTACTAAAACCATTGAACGAATTACTCAAACATAAGGCGCATTTTTCTCGAATCTCTGTCGTTCAAACCTGATGATAGTGTAACTTGAATGAAAAATAATAATGTCGCATGATGTTTTAAATGTCACGTGCATTTATATTGCTTAAAAATCTGTTTATTATTCTACCGAAATGCCTGTTATCACCCAAAATTATTTTTTTCATCTATGACTCTTTCAATGAAAATCCAGAGAGTTTTAATTATTTATTTATTATTTTTAGGGTTACATATTTCGATAGTTCATCTTATTATTTTATTTATTTATTTTTGTTTCTCACTAGATAAAGAATTTTTTTTCTCATACCATTTGATTTTAATTTTTGTCAAGAGCCCTTCATTGCTAGACTTCTACATACCCATTCGAGAATGAAAAAAATAATTTTTTTGTGTATATTTCGAAATGTTATTGTCGAATTTTTATACTTTGAACAACTCTAAAAGACTTAAGTGTGCCTGTATAAAATTTGGGTTTATGGAAAGTGGACAGTCGTGATAGCATCAAAAATACAGCAGCGATGGCAGCATTTTATTGATCAGCTCGCAGTAGAGTATTTAAAGTGAATGTAAAGTCGAAATAAGATTTATGCGTTTAAAACAGAACAATACGCTGAAGTAAGATTTTTGTGGCATATTTTGCGCACGGTGCAAGCATTTATTCTTGGGCATTGATTCGTGGCAAACACTGTCCAGGACAGGGGTGGCGAACCTTTATACACCAACGTGCCATTTTTTCTAAAAAATTGTTTAATGAAACCACAGACGTGCCGTCAAATAATTTTGACTTCATGATTATTGGGAAAATAATAATACTAAATAATATCAACTTAAAACTCTTTATTTACATTGAAAAGAAAATACATTTTGCAATGTCTCAGTTATACGCGTAATTCAACTTAAAGTAGCATCAGTGGGACTTCTGTTATTGCAGATTAAATGACAAATGACTTATAGGTTGTAAGATATTAGTTTAAGCAGGACTGATGATTTTTTTGCTAGTTATTAATTGTTAGCTTGTTTTTTATGGTTATTAATTGTTTTTTAGCATTAATTGTTAATTTTTTTATTAATAATTGCTTATTATTTTGTTTTTTTGTGAATTTTAATTTAATTGTTACAAAGTTTCATAGTGTGTGACATTTGTGTAATAACAATTCATAGTGCAATAACAATTGTGATCGGTGGCGGGCCCAAAATATTGTGTAGCGTGCCATAAATGGCACGCGTGCCATTAGTTCGCCTTCCCTGGTCTACGACAAACGGCTATGACGTAACTAGGCTGTAAAAAGTTTCAAGAAAGGCGTACATCAACATCAAATCTGCTAAAACCCAGGGCAAGCAAGCATCATAATCTTCCGTTGATATCAATACCTCTGGGGGTACCGATCCAGGAGTTTCCTTGTCTTCTGGATTGGTTCAAAATTACAAGGCTACGGCGTTGAGCATTAGTAGTCGTAAACCCAAAAATTGGGTCGGCTGTTCAACGGCGGTCATAAAATTAAAATAAAATCTCCCGTTGATGTTTAAGGATTATTAAAGTGTTTACGATTCGTGACACCTCC